AAATATCCATTGGTATTTTAATAGGAATTTCATTGAATCTATAAATTGGTTTGGGTAATATGGACATTTTAATGATGTTAATTCTTCCAGTCCATGAACTCAGTGTATGCTTCCATTTATTTGTATCTTCCTCAGTTTTCTGTAGTTTTCCCAGTACAGGTCTTTTGGCTTTAGGTCTTATGTTTAGCTTTTTAATACATTTGGGCTTAACTTTTGTATGTAATATAAGGTCCAACTTCTTTTTTTTACATGTGGATACCCAGTTTTCCTACTACCTGATGAAGAGACTGTCGTTTTCTCATTATGTGGTCTTGTCACTCGTGTCAAAAGAACATTTATCATACATGCAAAGGTTTATTTCTGGGCTATTTTGTTCCATCGGTCTGTGTGTCTGTCTTCATGCCAGTTTTGATTAGTGTAGTTTTGTAATATGTTTTGAAATCAGGAAGTGTGAGGCCTGCAACATTGTTTTTATTTTTTCAGTTCAAGATCATTTTGGCTATTCAGTGTCTTTGGACATTTCTTACAAATTTTAAGATGTCTATTTGGACAAAAATGCTGTTGGAATTTTGATAGGGATTGTGTTGAATGTGTAGATTTCTTTGGATAGTATGGTCATCTTAACAATATTAAGCCTTCCAAATCCATGAATACAGGATATCTTTCCATTTATTTATGTCTTAATTAATTTCTTTCAGCAATTTTTCTTTATAGTTTGCAATGTATAAGATTTTCTCTTCCTTAGTTTACTCCTAAGTATTTTATTATTTTTGATGGGATTGTTTTTTCATTTTCTTTTTCAGATTGTTCATAACTAAGGTATAGAAACACAACTGATTTTTGTGTGTTGATTTTATATCCTGCAACTTTGCTGAATTCATTTATTAGTTCTAACAGTTCTTTGTGAAATCTTTTGGATTTTCTACTCATAAAATCATATCATCTGTGAACAAAGATAATCTGTGTTTCTGTCTTCTTCTTTTCCATGTATAGTCTGATTTAATCCTCACTTTAATTTTCTAGGGTTTTCCTTGTTATCACTGTTTTACACATGGGAACACTGTATGATTTAGTCAGCTTTGCTGGGTTATGCTGCAATAACAAACAGCCATAGAATCTGAGAGGGTTAGGACAGTAAAGCTTACTTTTTATTCATGTTATGTTTCCCCTGAGGTCCATGTCTTCTTTATCCAGCGTTCAGGCTGAAAGAACCCTGTGTTGGGGGTTGCCATTTCATGGCAAATGGAAAACGTCAGGAATGGAACCATGAGATGGCACTCAAAGCTTCTGTTTGGAAGTGACTCACTCACTCTCACTGACATGTTACTGGCCAAAGCAGTCACACGGCCACACTGGATTCTAGTGGAATAGGACCTGGGCTCCTTCTACAGATAAGGCCCAGAATAGGTGGTAGGTAGGAATGAATGAATGTGTTATAGTCTGACTCAGCAAAGTTAGACACTTAGTAAAGGATGAGTAGCCGAACCAACTATATTATATTAGATGATACTATTCAAATCAAATAGCTGATATATAGGAAGTATCACGAAGGTAACGATAATGGGCCTTGTCTATGAACTTGTCTATTCTTAGAAGACTTACCTCCAATTATTCTAATGGTTCATTAAGTACACTTACAGTTTATTGCTCTTTTTTATTTTGAAAGTAAAACTTTATGACACTGAGTTTTAGGATTAGGACATGCTCTCTGCAAAGCATGGCTCCTCTCTCATCCTGAAGCGATGCCTTCCTGAGATAGCTGCAGGAGTCCTACACCAGGCTGAGACCTCACCCTGTGACATCGCTTCTTTATTGTTAACATAGCACATTTCTTTGCTGTCCTCTAACAAATGCATTCTCCTTTAGGATATAACCGAATTCTGTTTTGTTCTTTTTCAGTTTTTTTCCTGCCTATCTATTAGGATTTAAGTGGGTCAGAGCTAGTTAGGAACACTTTATAGATGTTGTCTTTTTTTTTTTTTTTATGGTGAAAATAGAAGCTGATGGAGAGAGAGGGAAAGAAAAGCCTGACCTTATTTCAAAGGCTTGTTTCAGGTTTGAAATTAAATGAATTCTATTCCTTTTCTTTTCTCAGTTAAGGAAGATGTATTACTGATAGTTGAATTCCAGTGACTTGATTTTTTCATATGAAAAAAAATTCTCTCTCTCTCCATATATATATATGTGTGTGTGTTACATATATACATATATATACATAAGTTTCACACACACATATATAAGCTTCACCGTGTGTGTGTGTGTGTGTGTGTGTGTGTGTGTGTGTAGGCTTCACCAATTCAAACTTAGCAAGAAAGGAAATGTCTTTCTGGACCATTGAAATACCTTAGTTATTGTCTCCAGTTACTTCATGTACTTTATTATCAGTACTTAAGTTAGCAGAAGTAGTTGACTAAAGCATAGTTTAGTAGAATTTCTTGAGGGAATTTACTTAAATATCTTGTTGCTCCATCCATATTTTTTACTGTTAAGTTGTCATTATTGAACTAAAGTGTACCTAAAATAAAGAATACTTGAAATTTTCCTTTTGTAAATGCATTGTTATGATTTTCTAATCTTCATTGTTGTTAATATAATTACAAACTAGAACATAATGATCCCTGGATTATTACAAATTCAAAATGACTAGCATCCAAACTAATGTGGAAATGAACCTCATTTTAAAAATGGGTAATAGACTATTCAGGCATTTGATTGTTGAGAACCATTTTTTAAACACTACATCTAAATTAAAATCTATTGCACTAATACTGAAGAAGACATTTGGGATATTTCCTTAAAGTTCTCTCAGTCTTAATTTCTCCATTGTTTTGTTTCCGTGTTTACAATGTTTGTTTCTGTCTCTATGCCTCTCACTCTACATTCTCATACTCATATCCACATATGCATCTAAGTACAGATTCACTTACATGTATGTATGTTATATGTACATGTATTAGTAAGGTAGAAAGAAGATGGAGAGAAGTGAACCGATCTGAGTAGGATTGGGGAGGTGATACTAATGGTTGCTACTGATGGAATGGCTGTTGTGAGTGAGAGGCAGTTTTGAGGATGACTCTGGGGCTTCAGCTTACCTGGCTATATTTATGTGAGTGTCATTGGCTATAATAGGGAGTGAACTCAGGAAAGGACAAAGTGTGAGGGGGAAAGAATGTTAATTTAGTCTTAAGCAGGTTGAGTTTGAGATGCCTTTAAAACAGTCAAGGGAAATTATATTGAACATTTCTATTTGAAATTGAGTGGCCTGGAGATACAGATTTGGAGTCATCAGCAAATGGATGGTAATTAAAGCTGTGGAAATGAGTAAGATTACTGAACCTTTGAAGAATAAATCTGTGCCTGATTTGGGGGATATAAATCTACAAAATGAGATTGTTCTTTATTGTTAATATAGCACATTTCTTTGCTGTCCTCTAACAAATGCATTCTCCTTTAGGATATAACCTAAAAGCCAGATGAAACTAACTTTTCCTCCCATACATATATCAGTAGTTACAGAAGTAAGATCAAGGGTGATTGACAGGTCAAATAAGATTAAAAGAATGTTTATTGGATTTAGTGACACGAGGGGATCATTGGTGATCTTTGCAACAGTTGTATTTTCTTAATACATAGTCCTTATATTTCTTCATCCCCAAATCCTTTCTTGATCCCTTAGTTCATACTAAACAAAATTTATACTTTTCCACTTGGTGTTTAACTCCCTTTATGATTTAATAGAATACTAATTTTAAAGCCTATGCCACCCAGCTTATGAGCACATACCTGAAACTCTAGCCAAACTCACTACCTTGCCATTCCTTCTTACAGTTGTTTTCCTGTGGTCTCTTTTCTCATGCTTTTTTCATTCACTGTTACTGAAATGTTATTGGTCTTTGGAGACCCAAACTAAACCTCGTTGATGTGTTCTTCCCTGGTTGTTGCCCACCAGATGGGCTCACAAGTCTGAACTTCCAAATACTTTCTTTTCACATCTCAGATGATACATGTCACAAATGATCTTACGTTTTAAATACTTTGTACTTGATTATGCTTATTATGAGCACCTTGAGATTTGAGCTTTTTTTTCGCTGATGTTATAGCTTCTAAAGCACCTAATATTTTTTGAGTAAGTGGATAAAATTCAGAATATATACTTCATAGAATACAATCTATATGTTACTCACCTGAAGACATAGTTTCAGTTTCTTTTAATCCTTATAATAACTGTATGAAATAGTTCCATTTCACAGATATGAAAATTTGTAGTTTAGAGAGGCATATTTTTAAAATTCATCTTTGGGCTAGGGTTTATTACTTATATTTAAATAGAGGGATTCCCAAGATTTTAAAAGAAGGCTCATTGAAAGGTTAGCATCTGAAAGGAAGCATGTACATGCATGCATGATATACATGTGTAAACTTTTTTTTTTGGACAGCCACAACTGATTTCAAAGTAAAAAGTGTTAACATTTGTCATGAATTGAATGGGAAACAAATAGTTTCGATTTCTTGAAATATCCTAATTGACTTTTCTATTGTTAGGATTTAATTTAAAGTCTTGTTAAACTGTCTAGAAATTTAGGTAATGAACTAAAGTATATAGGCTCATTCATTTATAGTTTTCCTCACTTTTTCCTTTTTCATTGCCTGATACAGTTTTTTGGTGTCTAAGGTGATGAAAGAAAAGTATACAACAGTTCTTAATATACAACAATTTACTGTATGTGAGGCATTGCTGTACTCAGTGCTGTAGAGATGTTAGGATATATCTCTGGTGTAGAAAATATCCAAGTGGACAATACTGTAATTCAAGCATAATAAAATAAGTATAAGAAATATACTATGGGTGTTCTGAGAAGGAAACCAGTAATTCTGAAGAGAGATGGGTGCTAAATTAGGGAGGATTTCTTAAAAGTAATAGTACATTAAAATCTTTATAAAATAAATGATCTCTATTGAGAACTAAAAGAATAATGGCTTTACTTTTATTTTCTTAATAGACAAAGAATGCTGTTCAAGCTTTGATTGATAAGCATCAAAGAATACCGGGAAACATTATGAGTGCTTTGTTAGAACGTTTTCATAAAAGTTAAAAGATCCACTAGAAGGTGATTCAATACATTTATATTAATATGTTTGTGTCTATAGTATTGTCTTCTAAATTTTGTAAGTTTTATAATCATGTATTATTGTAAAACTTGTGTTAATAAGCATCCTTTGCTGAACTCGTTTAAATTGTAAATTTTGTTTTATTTAGTTATGTCAAATTTAATTCATTACATGCCTATTAATTCTGAAAATTATCATGTTTCCTTTTATAAATTCCCAATAATGTATGATAAATGTATAGATTACTAGAATTAAGTTTATTAATAATAGCAATTTCAGTTAAACAAGCACTCCTAAATAATATGTCTAGTTTCTGTAGTTATTGTGCTGAGCTAATTTTGAAAGATGCCATAACCTAGGGTTAGAACAGATGCTTAAGTTAGTAAAAAAATGCTTTTTTGTTTGCCTTTCATTCCTTTCATGACCTTGGGAAAATCACATAATGTTTTTGTGCCTCGAAAATTCACTTTTGAAAAACATGTTAAGACTGTGGTGAGGAATATTATCTTAAATTCTTTGTATTTGCTGTGATTGTTATAGTAGATTTGAAATTATGATTGAATTAATTAAACAATACCAAGATCTTTCATAAGTTTATGAAAGATTATGTTTATGAAAGTTTATGAAAGTTTATGTCCATCCTATGGACAAAATATGTACATAAGGAATAATTTGAATTATTCCTTCAGGTATGATGTGAAGTTGCCAAGCCCAATGACAAAGATATACTATTATTCAAATTGAATAAAAAAGAAATTAAGAAAACTAAATTTTACAATTATGATTTTTAATGAGACTGTAAACAAACAATATAATGTGTGTTGTGAATTGTCAGTCCTATAATATGGCATTAATAGCATGAAGTTAAAAATCACTGTAAGGTTAAAAGTCACTGTCATGCTCTTCCTTTCATGTCAGAAGTTGATTCTAGGCTGATGAAAGCAGAGTTAAAGAAAACTCTGCCTTTGCTTCATATCATGGCTTATTCATTTTGACTTTGCAACAAGTCAAATGGCTTATTGTTTCAATAAAAATATAATTGAGTGATGAATTTTTGTGAATGTAAAGCTTTCTGAAAAATTAATGGCTTTTGATTTGTTGTTTCCTTCAAATCTGAATTTTAAAAGTATTGAACAGAATAGTACCAGTAATCAAATGCAGTATCTTCCTCTCCAGTTGGATTTTTTAAAATATATTTTTGTATAACAAGTATGTATATATGTGTGTATATATGATATGTGCAATATAAATAAACAAGCTACATAAAAATAAAAAGCTGAATTGTAATTCATTTTCTTATGAAATTGAATATGTGACATTTTCTTATTTTAAATGAATTTATTTCTCACCCACAGTCATATTCATTTATCTCAACCAGAATGAAAACTTACTTTTTAATCTAATAAATATACTTTAATTTCAATGAAAAGAGTCAATTAATGATTTTTGAAGCTTTTTTTTCCTTCTAGTAATACACAGTATTTGTTTAAAATTGATACATATTCCCAGAATGAATGAATAAATGAACATAGAATGAATGAGGTGATGTTTTGGGGTAACTATTTGGTTTTAAAAACTGCAGAAAGAATAGCATTCATTGAATAGCATTCATTGCAGCAAGTTTTTTAAAAAACAGTATTTAGATTTTACAGCTTTATTTAAAACTTTTTTTTCCCTGATACTGAAAGTAATAGAAAGGTTTCCTGTCCTGCTTAATATAAGATCTTTGTCATTGGCTATTTGAATTTAAACCCTAGTTAGAAGAATGAGGGAATATGACTGAATATTGAAACATAAGTAATAATGGAAAAAAGATGTTCTTGACCTTTTGAAGTGAGTGTTCACAAGTTAGAATCTGATGAAACTAGGACTCTCTCCATAAACATGAACGTGGCACACTTGTGTGGGAAATCTTTCAGATTCTTTTTTAAAAATCTTGCATTTTGAAACTGTTTCAGATTTACAGAAAATTTGCAATAACTGCATAGTACTCCCATATACTCTGCACTGAGTTTCACCAATTGTTATGGCACATTTGGTTTATTCTCTTCACACACTTGTTGTCCTATCTCTCTGCACATACATATCTGTAATCTTTTTCTCCTGAACCTTGTATTAGAAAATTGCAGATGACATGCCTCTTACCTTTATCCTAAACTATAAGACCATCCATTAACAGAACAATGATCAAAATTAAGAAATTTATAATCCATTTATAGTATCATCTGATCTAAAGATGATTCAAATTTCGTGTGTTTCAATAATAGCCTGTATATTGATTTCTCTTTTTGATCCATGGTTCATAGCAGGAACATCCATTGCATTTAGTTTTTCTATCTCTTTAGTCACCTTTAATCTGGAACGATTTCTGAGACTTTCTTTTCTTTAATGATAATGAGATTTTTGGAGTAGACAGATTATTTGTTTTATAAATAATCCTTCAGTTTTCCTTGATATTCCACCATGGTTTAATTCACATTATGCATTATTTCAGAAGTACTACACAAATGATGCTATGTTCTTCCTAGTGTGTTGCATCAGGCAGCCGATAACATTGGTTTGTGTTGTTAGTAATGGTAGTAACTTTAATCACTTGGTTAAAATGACGCCCGCCTGGTTTCTGCCCTGTTATTTTTTGTTGTTTGTAATGGATGAATATATGGAGAGATACTTTGAGACCATGTAAATATTTGTTTCTAAACAAACCCTGTGCTTTAGAATTGACTATTGCCTGAATAAATTATTACTATGAGGTTTTCAAACGTGTGACTTTCTAACTTTTCTACATTTGTTAGTTGGCATTCTACCATAACAACTTTCCAATCCTCCCTCACTTATTTACTATTAGTATGGACTCTAAAATTCACATTTTGTTCAAAGGATTATGAATATACTCTTAAGTAATTTATAGATAAAAACCCTCTGAAGTTAATAACTTCATTTATGAACCATTGAAATAATAGATGTTTACAGGGGTAAGTGGGATGAGTTTCTGTATTTGTGTATATGATTACTATTTAAAAAATATATTTTTGTAACTTTTATTGTGATAAAATGTACATAACAAAATTGACCATATTAGTTCTTTTTAAGTATACAGTGTACTGGCATTAACTACATCCATAATATTGTGGAAACATCACCACTATCCATGTCCAGAACTTTTTCATTCCAAACAGAAACTCTGTTTATTCAACTTTGTATCCATTTCCCACCCACTGGCTCCTGGCAACCACCATTCTACTTTCTGTCTTTATGAATTCACCTGTTATAAAGAGTATCATACAATATTTGTCCTTTTGTGTCTACCTTATTTTAGTTAGCATGATTATTTAATGCCTTTCTGACACCAAATGACATAGCTCCAATGCCATTTCTCCGATTCTCTGACACCAAGTGGGTGTCCTACAATTCCATTTGGCCCTGACACTAACTACTGGAAGTAGCACAGATGCTACAGGGTAAGGGGAATGAATCAATTCCCACAAGATTGTCCCATTCAGATGCCAGTTCTCTCTGGCCTGGTACAAATTTGAAGGTTCCCATGACATTCTCACCCTACTCCCACTGGGAAAATTGAGTAGAACAACTTATAAAACTCAGCAAAGTACAATACTTACAGTTTCATTATAAAGAATACAACTCAGGGATAGAGAAATGGAAGAAGGTGAGGTATGGAGGTGGGTTGCACAGAGCTTCCATGTCCTCTGTGGATGCACTACCTTTCCTGCACACCGATGTGTTCACCTGAGAAGCTCCTCCAAACCTACTTGTGGCTGTGGATGAATCGAGCTCAACCTCTATCACTCTATACCCCAATGAGTCATCTCATTAGCATACAGGAGGCACTCAGGAAAATCTAACGTTTTGCGAACTCAGTACCAGGAACTGGGAACAAAGACTAAATACATATGGGGGTGGGCAAATGTAGGTTTACAGTTGTAACATTCTTCTGAGCTAATAAAACTATTGTAATAATCATAACCTGCATGTCTTTTTCTATATGAACTACTGTAAACCTAGTTTTGCCCACTCCTGTATATATAATCTACCATAATAATATCTTCAAGGTTCATCAATGAATTTCATTCCTTTTGAAGGCTGAAAAATATTCCATTGTATGTATATGTTACATTTCCTTTCGTGTACTCATGTATTATGAACATCTGGGTTGTTTCTACCCATCATGGCTATTGTGAGTAATGTGAACACTGGTGTACAAGTATTTGTTTGAGTCCCTGCTTTTAATTGTTTTGGGTATACCCAGCAGTGGAATTACCAAACTGTTTTCCACAAAGAAGGCACCATTTTACATTCCCACTTGAAATTCGCCAGGGTTCCAATTTCTCAGTATCTTTAGCAACACGTTATTTTCAATATTTTTGACAATAAAAATCATAATGGATGTGAAGTGGCATTTCATTGTGATTTTGATTTGTATTTCCCTAATGACTGATGATAATCCTTCCATGTGCTTATTAGTCATTTGCATATCTTCCTTGGAGAAATGTTTATTCAAGTCCCTCACCTATTTTTGAATTAGGTTTTTATTGTTGTTGAGGGTTTTGTGGGGTATTTTTTTTTAGTTCCTTACATATTCTGGATATTAATTCCTCACTAGATACATAATGTGCAAATATTTCCTCCTGCTCAATGAGTTGTCTTTTTACTCTCTTCATAGTGTCCTTTGATGCACAAAAGTTTTTAATTTTGATATAATTTATCAGTTTGTTGCAATTTATCTTTTGTTGCTTGTACTTTTGGTAGCAAAAAAAAAATCATTGCTAAATCCAATATCATGAAGATTTTCCTCTATGTTCTCTTTTAAAAGTTTTGAAACTTTAGTTTTTAAGTTTAAGTCTTTGATCCAGATTGAGTTATTTTGTGTATATGTATGGTTTAAAGTAAGGGTTCAACTTCATTCTTTTGTATGTGAATGTCCAGTTTTCCAAGAAGCATTTGCTGACAAGGCTGCCCTTCCATTTTGTGGTTTTGGCACTTTTGTCAAAAATCAACTGACGGTAAATTGTAAAAGTTTACTTCTGGCCTCCTTTGTTCCATTGGTCTACATGTCTGTCAGTATGCCAGTACCACATTGTTTTGATTACTGTAACTTTGTTGTATGTTTTGAAATATTGGAATTTGAGTTCTCCAGCTTAGGTCTTCATTTTAAAGATTTTATTTTATTAGCTATTTGGTGTCCTTTGAGATTCTATATGAATCTTAGGATGGGTTTTCATATTTCTGAAAAAAAAAACCCGCAGGAATTTTGATAGAGATTGCACTGAATCTGTAGAGTGCTTGTGAAGTATCATCATCTTAATATTAAGTCTCCAATCCATTAACAAGATTAAGTATCTCATTCATTTATTAATGTTGTCTTAGATTTCTCTGAGCAATGTTTTCTGTTTTTGAGTATAAGTTTTTTGCATCTTTGGTTAAATTCAATCTTAAGTATTTTATTCTTTTTTAAGTGGAATTGTTTCTTTAATTATATTTTCAATTGTTCATTGTTACATAGAAACAATTGATTTTCTGTGTTAATTTTGATTTGCATTTTCCTAATGACTGATGATAAAGTCTTTTATTTGTGCTTGTCCTTTGCATATATTCCTTGGAGAAATTTTTATTCAAGTCCTTTGCCCATTTTTGACTTAGGTTTTTATTGTCGTTGAGGATTTTTTTTTGAGTTATGGGTATTAATTCCTTGCCAGATATATGATTTATAGGTATTTTCTACTGTTCAATGGGTTGTCTTTGCTGAATTCATATATTAGCTCTAATAAGTTTTCTGGTGAAATCTTAAGAGTTTTCTGTATATAACATCATGTCATTTGCATTTGCAAAGAGAGATAGTTTTTACTCCCTCCATTCCAATTTGAATATCTTCTATTTCTTGCCTAATTGCTCTGGGTAGATCTTCTGACACTATATTGAATAGATGTGGAAAGTGTGCATTGTTCAGAGATGTACCCAAAAGAATAGATGTGAATTTTCATCTCTTCCATGTTGTACATGTTCATTTCTACATATCAGGATGGTTTGTGGTGTTAGAGTTATTTGGCATTCTGGATGGCTTTATGGTAGTATTTTATATCATAAATCAATATCTGTGGAACATTTTTCTATCTGGGTCATCTCATTTAATTTACCCAACTGTAGCTATTTACTTATCCTATTCTTACTTATATTGATATAATTATAAATAAAAGTAACAAGACTTTTTGTGGTGATTATTTTGTATTGTATGCAAATAATAAATCATTATGTTGTAC